ATCTCGTCACTTCTATTATTGATTTTTTTTTACTGATTTCGGTTTTTAATAATAAATAATAACAAAAAAACAAAAAATGATATAATTTTTACAGAAACATCAAAATAGGGCCTTAAAGAACCTTTATAAGTTCGACATTAGTACAGCATTGATGCTATACTCCAATGCGCATGCGCTAAAAGGGGGCTCATCTAACAACATGACTGCACTCAGGTGATATTTCCGAATGCAGTCATATTCTTTTCATGCATTAACGGAGTTATATAACCTCTGTTGATTTATTCAGTTGAATATTCAGACTTATTTGTCAATGTAAGAGTGAGAGAAGATAAAAATCATCCATAATTTTAGTAAAAAGATTGGAAACATTATATAATCGACTGTGTTACAACACTAAAACAAGTGTTGTATAACTCAAATCGAAGTTGATAATACTTTCCCCTTAGCAGTCGTAGGAATTACTTCAAAAAGAAAGAAGAAATTTTGTCAATATAATTATTGTTGTCTTCAGTCTAATATTGAATCAAAACGTTGAGTTAAAGTGTATAGGCAAACGATAAAATTAACATCAACATACACAATGTCCATATTTACAAGGCGAATACTTTTATCTATAGGTAGCCTTTTTATTTTATCCTAAAAAAATGTCACCACGTGTACTAGTACAATAACACTTAAGGCCACTTTCACCAAGCTCAGTTAACTTAATCAGCCTAGTAACTGTATTGAAATAGAAAGAGATAGAAATAGTTCTATCTCTTTCTATTTCATTACAGTTACTAGGCTAGCTAAGTAAACCGACGATGGTGAAAGTGGCCCTTAGCAACAAAGTTTGTTTCCAGTTTCAAGAGAATGGCAATGTTTGCGACCTGTCATCTGTAACACACATCTTCGACAATGTCAACTGTCAACTCAGTCTCAACCAAGCTTAGAATCTGGTAAATTTGTACACACAAGTGTATACCTACATAAATTGAACTTAAATATTATATTCTTCATATTTCTAATTATTTACAATTTCCAGGAAAGAAGAATAAAAAATGATTAAGAGCTAAAATAAGATTGGAAAAGTAACGACTTTATTTTTTTTCAAATAGATAATTAAAAAGGAGAGAATCAAGAGAATATTAAAAACAATCTTAATATTTATTCTTTTTTAATATTTTTCTTTTCTAATCATATGTTTGAAAATAAATAAAGTTCACTTCCAATTTTATTTTAACATATCTTTAACCATATTTTTATTCTTATTTGCATTTGCACATTTTAAGTTCAATTTATCTGTTGTTTTCTAGAAAATAAATTTTATTGTTATATTTTTAATATTTTTTAATGAATAGTATTTTATGTAACGTTAATAAAATTTAATGTTATATTTTGTAATATAATATTTTTCGTCATACACATAGATCTGTCCAACGTCTCTGAAAGTTCAGAAGTCACGTTGGATCCACTGACACACCCAGACTTCTTCCAAGTGCACAAACTATTCACCGTAAAGGATCTATATGACGCGAGAGTGCATTATGGCCACAAGGAGACCTCCCTCAATGAACATATGGAGACGTTCATATTTGGGTCTAGATTGGGACACTTAATAATCGATTTAGATCAAACCGCCGAGTTGTTGAGACAAGCATTGAACTTTACCGCTCATATCGCCTTCCGAGGCGGCATAATTCTATTTATCTCGCGCAATCCCCAGGTCACGCATTTAGTGGACAAAACTGCCAAGGAATGTAAGGAGTTTTCACAGACGAGATTTTGGCGACAAGGGCTGTTCCCGAATTCGAGGAATCAGTTCAAGGCGACGACGCGGTTGCCGGACCTGTGCATCTTTCTCAGTACTCTGGACACAGTCATGACTGAGCATGCAGCAGTGAGACATGGAGCTAAGATGTGCATACCTAGTGTTGGCATAGTCGACACGAACTGCAATCCGAATCTTATAACGTATCCAGTGCCTGGAAACGACGATTCTCTGTGCGCCATTCAACTTTATTGCTCGTTATTCAAAGAAGCTATCATGAGAGGGAAACGGGCGAGAGAACGGATGATACAATATGCAGAATCGACATAAATCTGATAAATGGTAAAACAAATGTATGTAGATGTACATGTAAAAAAATATAACAAAATATCAAAGTACATTCTTTTCTTTAATCGAAGAGCAGAGCTATAGTGAGTAATAAAGTGATTTAAAAAATCAGTATATATCGCTCATTCATTACATCAGCGACATAATTCAAAAAACGAATTTTCTAGAAAATAAAATATTTTCTACTTTAATTTTGTAATGCAATTTTGATACAATAACTGATTGTAAAGAAATAAAAATATGTTTTTTCTATTTTCTTTTTATATTTCCGTTCATTTTTACAAGCAACCAAAGAATTACAACTTTTAATTAAATAACAAATGAGCGATGTCAGTTAATGGACATCAGTTAATCTTTTTACATCTGTTTTATTCCCTTATGTTTAATATATACATCGTATAAAAATCTTAAAACACTTATGTGAAGAATATATTGACAAAACATGACAAAAATACAGTTGCTGTTGACATTAGAATATCTAGTGACGATCATGGCGATTAATCGGTTTTGGAGGCATTAGCATCTCGTAATTTTAGCAGGTACTTCAGACCTAAATTCTTTATAAACCTTTATAAAAAAAAGACACAAAACAATTAAACGCGATAATATTTAAATTGAACAAAAAATTTGTTTGTCTTTTTCAACGTTAATGACTGGGTTCAGCAGAAAACACAGTTTTGCAACTATTGTAAAATTCTTTAATATGATTGGTTTATTCATTTAGGTCTATGAAGAACTAAAAACAAGAATCGATCAAATTAAAAAATCTTACAATACTTGAAAAATTGATTTTTTAAACGCAGCCATTATAACTTAGATAAAGTCCATTTTAGACATTCTGTAATTTTAAATAAAATTCGATTTCGTTTAAATATATATTCTCTATATGCATATACATATATTGTGACTTTTATAAATTGACAAACTTTTTTATCTCAAAAGATTCTATCATAACGGATTGTCAGTTATAGATTATCTAAGATGGATCTAAGAATTCTACAGAAAAAGAGTAAACGAACTTTTTCTATTTATATCTACTTATATATGTATATATACAGGGTGGACCATCTGAAGTGATCCAGTCAAATATCTCGAAAACTAGTAGGGATAGAGAAAAATGTTTCGTATGAAAAGTTTAGGGTTACACGGGGGAAGTATGGTACTGACCTTGAAAAATCCTTGGAAGGTCATTTTGAAGGTCATTCAGGGGTCACGATGGTTTTTTTAAACAGAAAATGTTTTGAACTGCTGTGTATACCGATGCGATAAGTTGGAGTAAAACAAACTATTTAGATTTGTTTTTCATTGCGGTACTAACTTGCTTTTTTGTTTTTCATTGCGGTACTAACTTGCTCGCTTTTGTTAAATATCAAACATATATCTCTTTCACTTTAAAAATGTAGTACATTCTATAAAAAATAGATTTATAGTTACATTCTAACTTATTGCACCAGTTCAAAATATTCTTCGAAACAGAACAAGCTTATTTAGATCAAGTTTATTTTGTTTGTTGAGTTGTGGATTAGAATGAGGTCAAACATAATTGAATTTTATTTTTAGAACGGTTGTTTATCTTAATTCTGTTATTTATAGTAGTAGATCACAGATGACTACGATGAACGGGAAGAGGCCCTCTTCGATACCGTGTAGACATCAGCCAGAGATATTATCGCAACATTCTGACTTGATCAAGTATATTTATGATTGTAAGTACACATACGCAATACAATTTAAATGATTGAAATATATTTTTCTGATGTTTATTTCTTATATTTTTTGCACTTTTTTTCAGCATGGAATTCCGTATCTAGAGAGCTAGATATGTGTCACAATCAACCACACAGTAACTCCTCTAATTATAGAAATGGAGCGTCAGTTACATATTATCAAGAACGTGAGCCAAATCCACAGTTGAAAGGTAAACATTTTGCTTCTGTGCTTTATCTAGAAGCAAAATTGATACAATATCATTATTGTATACTATAAGCTTAATTTAAACTCGAGGATTTATCTTCTTTTATTTCTTTTCCTTGATTTAGAAAATTATGTGTGCTACAATGGAAGAGATTAATTCCTATTTAGAGATATTCAATTATTTTGTTTCATTGTATTATGTCTTTTTTTGTAAATTTTGTTTCATTTTATTATTGACTGTGGAATATATAGTGGATGAAGAAAATGTATTGTATTTTATATCTTTTTACAGATTTCGAACCATTTAATTTGGAGGCATGGTGGGGACAGCGTGTTGTGCAAAGTGTTATTACTACTAGAAATGCAAATTCCTAGTGCCAGGCCCAACATGCTGACTATAATCGGACATTTTCAAACAGACATAAGAAACAAAAAAGATAAATTGCGATTTTATCAAATTCAATTTTTGTTTCTTTTGAGATTTATTTTATACTTTTGACAATGATACTTTAAAGCTGGGATTCAAGAACAGAGAAATTGTAACATATAAAAAATATAAACAGTAAGACTTAAATACTAAAACGTTTGAACACTCACATATACACAAGTAAAACAGAGAGGTTTTAAAATGGCAATTTTATATTCTCAAGAATTTTTTATGGCAATTGATTTATTTACTATTTAAATCTTACTGCTTACGTGTTTACACAATGAAAGAAAGACAATGGATATCAACACAAAAATTACAATTAAATCCCAATTTTGTTTCATATATGTAATGTACGTATTTATCTGAAGATTTTTTAATGTTTTAATAAGAAAAAGGAAAGAAAGAATGCGGATTGTGTAATGTTGATAAATGTGACAGTAATGTGTCAAAAATGTGTTATGAATAGTAAGAGAAAGATACAACAGAAACATAAGCATCGTTATACGAAAACATTCCTTTTATGTCGACCATATTTTATCAAGATTATTAAATTTTTTTCGAGCTTTTTAAAAATATACATTAAACGAGAAATCAAACATAAGAAACCATTTTTTATTTGTATTATTGTCTTTGTAAAACTGGAGAGATATATTTTATAATTTAAGAAAATTGTTTCAAGCTATTTATTTTAGTTATTAAATAGTACGCAATATATAAATTCATAATATAACACTCTTCATATATATATACACATATATATATATATATACACTATACAATTATACATAATGTAATAATTTATATACATATATAAATTATATAAATTTTATATGTATAATTATATATAAAATTTATATATAATATAAATTTCCAAGATGCTGTACAATAGTACTGTATTTCCACGTTATTTAAAGAGAAATTAAAGATTATTATGTTTTTTTTATCTCCTTACAATGTTGGGCAAAATATGTTGCTGCTCAACAATGCACAAAGCATTTACAGAGTGCTCAAAGCTTGTTTGATAAAAGTTTCATAGACGAATTTTAGGACTCGTACTTTAGGATATATAGACATAAATGTACTTTTTCACATGTTGCATTTCACATTTCCAAGATTTTTCACCCTCATGAAACGACTGCACTTAGCTGATACGTAAATTATAAATAAAAGCGTTTTCCACTTGTCGAAAGAGATTTTATTAACGTACGGGATAGATACTGCACTTGAAATTAATTGCAATGTGAAATAGCGTAATGGTTATTGCGATTTTAAATATACAATAAAACATGTATACTCTTATTATTATTATGTATGTATGTACATCTATGCGTGTATAGTTATTATGTAAATTTATTCAAATAATGTTTCTAATGACAAAACAATAATGAGCAATGTCTTTCTATATACATGTGAATTTTTATTTTTTTGTGTTTTCGCTCATCCATCCTGTTTTGTATAAATTTTCTGTTGTAAGAAAAACAATTCACTAATAGCGAATTCGATCACTAGCACTACACTAGATCAGTGCATACTAAAAGCTACTTTGCATGAAATTACCAAAGTTAAATGTAAAAGTATATAAATATTTTAAACGATTAACTATAGACTAATGATATTGTCACATTATTTAACAAAATATGTGTATCATTTCATTGTCAAAGTTGATTATATTGTATTATTGCATTGAGATAGTTTATATAAAGCAGCTTTTAATATGCACTGATCCAGTGTAGTGCAAGTGATCGAATTCACCATAAATCTACCTTGCCAAATTTATTGATTACATGTTCGAATGCTTTTTCGTGCGAGTCCAAATCAAGCACATCCATAGGATAAACTTCCACATCATTGTCAGTTAAGTTTCTGTTCTCTGCAAAGGAACATTTATGAAAGAAAAGGCCCTGCGCACAATAGAAGGAATAAAGAATAAACGATTTTAATCAGTTAAAAGTCAGATACATCGGAATACACGGTTTCTAATAAGTTGAAATCGTTTATTCTTTATTCCTAATTCCTTATTCCTTCTATTGTGCGTAGGGCCAAAGTGGATAAAGGCTTTGGCACATAGAAAAATTTAAGACGTAAGACATAAACGGGGAGCACAGATTCTTGCATAACGCTTAACACGTAATGCATAAGAAAATGTACCAATCGAAATCCTCAGTTTCCTTCCTTTCCATGAAATAAAGAACTCTGGTTGGTACAATTTCTTATGTCTCATGTGTTATACATTATGCAAGAGTCTGTGCTCCCCGCTTTAAGCAGTAACGAAATCAACATGTTGGATTCGCTATTGCTTACGTATTACGGTTTTACGGTCTCTATTGTGATTGGTCGATTTGCTTATTGCTTAAGTCTTACGCCTTAAGTTTTTTTATGTGTTATGGCCTTAACAATGGACGCGTTCAAGTTGACAAAGCGGCTAGCCTGCTCGCCGAGCAAATGAGTATAATTGATTTGTTACTTATAGATCCAACCAATTATATTTAATCTCTCGGTAAGCATGCTTAGCCGCTTTGCAACTTTGAACTCGCTCAATAATAGTGAGTTAACGACATTGATTTTTAACGTAATTCTATTTAGAACCATCGAAAGAAATCACATCAATTAATTAAAACAGTCGACGAAGATCATTAATATAGCGCGGGAAAGATCTTTTACAGAAGTTTGCGAGACACGAGTATGTCAATTGTACCTTCCAAACACGTCTTCTTCACTCGTTCTAATTCAGCGATTCTCCGAGCGGACAAGATTAATTTGCAGCCCGCTTTGGCTAACACGTAAGCTAAATGTTCTCCGATACCGGTAGATGCACCTGTTATCCATACTGTCTTGCCTTTCAACGAAGCTATAACGAAAATATGTTCGTTTATTCACTCTTTGAATGATTTACAATTTGTGACAGATTTCAGGAGAATTATTTGTAATAAAAAAATAGACAACAAATTAAATTATACAATAATAATATAAACTATAGAAATCAAAGCCTTAAACGGTCTAGCTGGATCTTATTAATGCTTGTATTCTTATGTGAATTTATATACTACGTATGTAGCCCCCAGAAACGCGTGCCGAAATGATTTTTCGGTCTTGAAAACGCTAACTCTACTAACCTACCGCTGTAGTATCACGAATTAAATTGACTAGCAATTTACCAAATTTTTTATGCTTATTCATATCTTTGAAATGATCTCTCCTCCCGCCCGAGGTAATATTTTTCGCAAAAAGAATTAATTATTTACAAGTTTTAATATGCTATTCAATATTATTAAGATCGTTTCGAAGATGCGAATAAGCATCAAAAATTTGTTAAATTGTTAGTCAATTTAACTCGTGATATTACTGCGGTAGTTTACTAGAGTTAGCGTTTTCAAGGCCGAAAAATCATTTCGGCGCGCGTTTCTGGGGACTACATACGTATATAGTATATAAATTCACACAAGAATCATACAAGTATTTAAGATCCAACTAGACCGTTTAAGGCTTTGATTTCTATAGTTGTGTTATCACACATATACGGTCCTATAATATATTATATTGTTAAATAATAATATAATAAAAATTACAATAATTTTTATTATGTTAATATTTATTGTACATTTTTAATTAGCATTAGATTATTGAATAAATAACGATATAAAGATTCTCTTTAGTCTAGTGATACACAAAAATTTGTTAGGAAGCGAACAAAACTATAACATTCAATAACATTCAATTATATATTATCTTTATAGCCTATTTTGCATTCCGAATTCCGACGGTTCTTTTTCTATAAATAGAGATAACATTGTTGGATGTTTCGTGTTTATTTATTTATTAACAAATTGTATGTAAATTTTTATTTACTGGACTGAGGAAAATTTTCATATAGATAGACAAATAGACTTTGTTCATATCTATGCGATTTTACTCGTGACTGACGAAAAGTTGGCTGAAAAAAATTCTTTGCTATTTTTTAAGATTATGCAAAAGTATACTTACATACGGGTTTGCCGTATTTTTCCTTAAAAGCGAGCAGTATGTCGCAATCCAAGAAGGAGGGAAGAACGAGATAGACGGAATAGTAGACTACGAATAAGAGTCCGATAATTACGAATAAATCCATGTTTAATTACACTTATCTACGATGATATGAAAATACTTCTGCAAACAAAACACGTTCCCATTGTCGTCGAACTTATACATATGAATATATCTACATAATTTGAATATATCTACATAATTTTGTTTTCTTATGTAGTTACATTTCGGTTTCATAAATTTTTACGCATTAGAATTCCTTTCATTATTTATAAAAAAAATCGGGATTTAAAGATTTGAAAATATTTTGAATTAAATATTGGATAAGAGAGAAAAAGAATAATTCTTTTAATTCATTTTAAAATTATAGAAAATTTTGTGGTCTTTTTATTCATTTTTCTTTAATTTTTTATTTGATAAATAATTCTTTTTCAAATGAAGAACAAAAAACAATAAATAGCGTAAATCACATTTTTTCATTGAAATTAATATAATTATACAATTTATATTACTATTCCAAAAAAAAAACAGGCAACAAAATAACGAGATAGAAACATCTTATTTTCTGGAAAGAAGAAATCAGCATTAAATATGGACAAGCTAAAGTCATTATTAGATTTACTGAATTTTGAGGACTTAGCAATGAGAGACTGGTATTGCAACTACTCACGAAGCATGGTCATCAATCACAGGTGCAAATTGAATCTTCGTGACATACTTAATTATAGACAGTGTGATTATCGTAAGACTAGTTTTCATATAATTATAACCAGGATTAACAAGTTAACGCGTTATTTGTAACGTCGTTACCGTTACAAGTTACTTTTTTTTAATAACGTTTGAGTAATGACGTTACATTTTCTTCTGAATAACGTTCATGGTTATGCAGTTAAATTTTTGGGATAAAATGGTAACGATTTCACTAGTTACTTTTATCGTTACTTTATTTCTATTTACGTAAAAGTTTTAATTGTAACTAGAGTGTATATATACATATATGTATATACATATGTATATATGGTATATCAATCTTTTAGTTTTTTCCTCTACTAAAAATAAAATTCTAACATTTTTTTTATAGTTACCACAAGAATCTACATATAATAGCGCTTTTCATTGGCAGAACTAATGCGCATTCAGTGCACTTTAAATCCGCTGTATCGACGTAAAAATGTATGGTTAATAAAAATATAGAAACGAGTTAAACCGCGAAATCCTCAGTACATTTTATTATGTTATTTGATAAAATATACTTTAGGTATTTTATCCTCTCAGATATCTTATTTTTACATTTAGATTAGAGTTGTGTATAACGGCTTTAATGTGCACTGAGTGCGCACAAGTTCTGCCAATAAAAAACGTTATATGATATTCTATTAGTACCAAGAAAAAAAAAACGAAAAAGTAACGACTTGTTACATCTTGAGTGACGGTAACGGTAATGAGTTATTTTTATAAATCAATAATGAGTAACGATAACGAGTTACTTTTTAGGAAAAAGAACGGTAATGGTAACGAATTATTTTTATGAGATAAACCTTGATTATAACCGATTATTAAGTTGATAGTAAGGCGTTATGCTAGATTTAGAGTTCCTCAAATCCACGTTCCGTTCCGTTTCACGTACGATGCGCATGATACATCATTTATTATTGTTTAACATTCGATGAATAACAAGGATAAATAATGCATCATGCGTGAAACGGAACGCAGCCAATTGTAAAACAACTGCAAGTTGGAGAATTTCTTTTTTGAGAAAAAAATAGAGTGAGCTTCGTTCAACCTGTAATCGAAAACAAGGAAGCAATGAATTTAATCTGAAGACTGATCTTTTTTGAGAAAGAATATTATTGTTTTAAAAAATATATGAATTGTTATGAGGGAGAAATCTTTTCTAACTCGCGTCAAAATATATATATATTCCGGGAAATCAATATGAAAAAAAAGGAAGAGCATTCCTTGGTAACAAGTTGGATTGTGACGTAATTCGTAAAAAAAGACAAATCCCAGACAGCACAGAATATTGATGGTAAATATTTATTCGTACTTATTTTTTTAATATGTTATATAAATATTTTATACATATTTTTTAAATATTTATAATAAATATAAATAAATATTTCTAGTAAGTATTTTTTATTTGGATTATAATATTTTATTAAGTATTTTCATAACATTTACTACAAATAACAACATTTACAATAAATATTTCAGAATATTTATAATACATATTTATGACGAATGCAATCTAACATCACAAAAATATTTACAAATATTTTGTGAATATTTTATTAATATTGTTGTCTGGGATTTAAAAAAAACAATATAATATATTATAAGACCATATATGTGTGACAACACAAACTATAGAAATCAGAGTCTTATACCGGTCTAGCTGGATCTTAAATGCTTGTATGATTCTTGCGTGAATTTATATAATACGTATGTAGTCCCCAGAAATGCGCGCCGAAATGATTTTTCGGTTTTAAAACGCTGATTCTATAACTAAACTACCGCAGTAGTATCACGAGTTAAATTGACTAGCAATTTAACAAATTTTTGATGCTTATTCGCATCTTCGAAACGATCTTAATAATATTGAATAACATATATTAAAACCTTAGTAATATACCGGTTAAGGTAATATTTTTTGCAATAAGAATTAATTATTTACAGGTTTTAATATGTTATTCAATATTATTAAGATCGTTTCGAAGATGCGAATAAGCATCAAAAATTTGTTAAATTGCTAGTCAATTTAACTCGTGATACTACTGCGGTAGTTTAGTTATAGAGTCAGCGTCTTCAAAACCGAAAAATCATTTCGGCGCGAGTTTCTGATGGGGACTACATACGTAGTAGCGTATGTTAAGTTAGCACCCCAATATTGAAATTCCATTAGTTCTGATTAGAGTTCCCGTTTCCTTTTGTCCAGACGAAGAGTTCTCTATAATTTATAACAAGAGTTCCGCTTAATAACTATTTTTAAATAATTT